GGTTCAGACCAGGTTATAACAGCAGGGGTTCTACCAGGTTATAACAGCAGGGGTTCAGACCAGGTTATAACAGCAGTGGTTCTAGCAAGTTATAACAGCAGTGGTTCAGACCAGGTTATAACAGCAGGGGTTCAGACCAGGTTATAACAGCAGGGGTTCTACCAGGTTATAACAGCAGGGGTTCAGACCAGGCCGGTCCCAGGACCTCAGACAGCACCGGGAAGAGATTCCTGGAGTTCTTGTATGGGGTTGAGAGTGGTCTAGGTATTTTTTGAGAGATGCCAAGGTTTTAGCGGCTGGAGCTGCCCTTATACAAGTAACCCTCTATCCTGTGTCAGTCATATTGTGAGAAATCAGTCACACTCGGCTTTTCAAACACAGCATTTGTGCTTAAATTCACAACGCTATATTACAATGTAGTTGCACGGATTTTCATATAAGGCCTATGGGTTTTGACTAACTTAGGAGACAATCTTGTATCAAAATGGAGAATGTCTTGGAGCAAAAAAGCATTGACGTGGGCAGCCTTGAAGTAGGGCTCCCAGAACCCCAGTTTACAGACCCAAGAGAGGCCCACATAGTTCCTTTAAGGGAAGCTAGTCTCACATAAATAACAGTAATGAGAAGTTGATTATAAGTGAATACTAATAGATCTTACCAACAATAATAGGCACTACTGTTTATCATTAATGACCGCCTGTCTGCCAGATGTCCCTCAGAGCACTCACAACTTTCCGAACTAGGCCTGTCAGTAATTGGTCAACAGGTGAACAGCTTGTCACTCCCGGCCCAGAATCTAAGGCCCATGCCTCTGGCCCACCTAGTGTGTCACCGCCTACAGATTTTCTGCCAACAGCCCCCTCTTCCACCACAGTAAGAATGCATGTTAGAAAAGGTGGACTTTCTGAGAGGTTGTCCAGATGCCTTCTGCCACATCAGCTGGTGAGGTCTCATGGGAGAGGGCCTCGTTCCATCAGTTGAAGTTCTGAGAATGAACTGAGCAAAAGATTAATGTAAAGGAATCAGTAATAGGAGAAAACAAGATGGTAAATATCTACAGGGGTGGGCAAAGTAGGTTCGCAGTTGGAAAAAGACATAATACAATAATTAATAAATAATACAATAAGCTCTGCGTTTCACAGCTGTTAGCCTACTTTTTCCCACCTCTGTGTCTCCCCCTGTATGAAAGATTCAAATACTTGGGAGCAGTTCTGGACCCATTTCTTCATCTGCTAGCAAAAGTTATAGGTTAGATGATCCTCAAAGTACTCTAGATCCTTATGATTGTATGTTTCTATCTTTGAATTTAAAAGCAGCTTGCTTTTGCAGCTCAACCCCAGGTTCTGAGAGGTTCAGATAGTATGATCTGGCAAAAGGGATCCAGGTAGGTGAAACTGCTGAACAAAAGCATGCTAGTGGCTTGAGTAGTTCTCCCGGACCTACTGTGTGCTTTACAAGACCCTGTAGAACGCTGGTGGGACCTCCTCCCTGCCAGCAGGTGGCTCATTCCAACCTCCTGCTCACCCGTATCTGTTCTGGACTCAGGATTGTGTGCCAGCTGCAGAGGATGCTGTCCATAGCCGTGGAGGTGGACAGGACCCCCACCTGCAGCTCGAATAAAATTGCCGAGATGATGTTTGGGTTTGTGCTGGACATTCCGGAGAGGAGTCAGAGGTGAGTCTTAGTTCTGTTTTTCTTTTTTATTCCAGGAACATACTTTTGAAAGAAAATTCCAAACAGTAGTTAAATTGGGGAGGGGGAGTGGGGAGGTAGTTCCTGTTTCTATAACCTGTAAAAGAAGACAGTTTTCTTTTTTTAAATATATTTTATTGATTTTTTACAGAGAGGAAGGGAGAGGGATAGAGAGTTAGAATCATCGATGGGAGAGAAACATCGATCAGCTGCCTCCTACACACCCCCTACTGGGGATGTGCCTGCAACCAAGGTACATGCCCTTGACTGGAGTCGAACCTGGGACCCTTCAGTCTGCAGGCTGACGCTCTATCCACTGAGCCAAACCAGTTAGGGCAAGAAGACAGTTTTCAATGAATTCTTATTATTTGCAATGAAGTCGTAATTTTTTGGGAAAAGTTGGGATGCCTTAAATGGAACCTACATTTTCCTACTTTACCCATTTAGCTAACAATCTTACTCATCCTTCAAGGTTCACCTGCTAAGCACAACCTTCTTCCTGACCCTCAGCCATGGAGCCTGGCATAAATGTCCATGGGAGGCCTGAGAGGCGAATGAAACAGGCATGTCCAATATAAGAGATGATCAAGAATGAGCAGGGCTGGACCTGTAGCATGAGCCCAGAGAGTAAGAATAAGGAATTCCGGAATAAGCCAGAGACCAGAATAAGGAGGGGATAAAGAAAGAGAGTTCTTGGCTAGAACTAATGATTCTTTCTTTGAACCAGCAATTTTAGATCCAGAGGAAGACAAACTGGAATGAATATGAATTCGTAAACACTTGCTGGTACAGGAAGTAACTATGGGAGAGCATTGGAGAAATTATCTCCCTTGGCTCTCTGCTTTTCATCCCAACCCCGATGCTCCCAGTTGGCAGCCAAGAATATTCTTCCACAGCTCTGGTTCCTCCATTAGAAGAAAATGTCCTACCAATATTAGTCATAAAGATTTAATGAAAACACCCTGCTAAGAGTAAGACAGGTGTTTATTGGGTCCCTACAATGTGCCAGGCATGGTCACATTCTCATATTTTCATGATACTAAAAGACGAGAAAAATACTAAATGTAGTGAAATAACTAGTCCAGGGTTACACAGCTAATCAGATTCAGAATCCAAACTTAAACCCAGGACTTCTAAATCCCAGGTTCATTGTTCAAAGGAGGCAGTCTGTGAGAGGTCAGAGAGGAGGTGTGCATAGATGCTGTGCTCCTTTTACCACTTCATTTGGGTCCAACTCATACCAGTCAACATTTAAGCCCAGATTCTGCTGAGAGGTGAGAAATCTAAGAACTACATAACTATAAGCAAATTTAGATTTAACATAGACAAAAATAATTTAAGTAAAACGTGGCCCTACTTTAAAACTCTCTCAGAAGGGGCAAATTGGCATTCACCAAGTTATACTAGAAAATCCTTTATCTTAATGTTCCTTACTGAGACAAACAGTATCTAGCACACTGTGAACATCCGGAAATATTATTCTCAATATTAACTCTCTTAGTGAAGTAACTCTTCTTAATGTGTCCTAAATTGGTGTTTTCCAAATACCAAGGCTCTCCCATTTCTAGCAGTTGTTAGTTCATGAACAGATCTGTGTCAGCCCTGTCCACGGGGCTGGTGAGTGTGTAGACTTCCATCGGGTTCTGTGCCTGCCCTGTCCATGGCTTAGTGAGTGTGTAGACCTGCATTGGGTTCTGTGTCTGCCCTGTCCACGGGGCTGGTGAGTGTGTAGACCTCCATCGGGTTCTGTGTCTGCCCTGTCCACGGGGCTGGTGAGTGTGTAGACCTCCATCGGGTTCTGTGTCTGCCCTGTCCACGGGGCTGGTGAGTGTGTAGACCTCCATTGGGTTCTGTGTCTGCCCTGTCCACGGGGCTGGTGAGAGTGTAGACCTCCATCGGGTTCTGTGTCTGCCCTGTCCACGGGGCTGGTGAGAGTGTAGACCTCCATCGGGTTCTGTGTCTGCCCTGTCCACGGGGCTGGTGAGAGTGTAGACCTCCATCGGGTTCTGTGTCTGCCCTGTCCACGGGGCTGGTGAGAGTGTAGACCTCCATCGGGTTCTGTGTCTGCCCTGTCCACGGGGCTGGTGAGAGTGTAGACCTCCATCGGGTTCTGTGTCTGCCCTGTCCACGGGGCTGGTGAGAGTGTAGACCTCCATCGGGTTCTGTGTCTGCCCTGTCCACGGGGCTGGTGAGAGTGTAGACCTCCATCGGGTTCTGTGTCTGCCCTGTCCACGGGGCTGGTGAGAGTGTAGACCTCCATCGGGTTCTGTGTCTGCCCTGTCCACGGGGCTGGTGAGAGTGTAGACCTCCATCGGGTTCTGTGTCTGCCCTGTCCACGGGGCTGGTGAGAGTGTAGACCTCCATCGGGTTCTGTGTCTGCCCTGTCCACGGGGCTGGTGAGAGTGTAGACCTCCATCGGGTTCTGTGTCTGCCCTGTCCACGGGGCTGGTGAGAGTGTAGACCTCCATCGGGTTCTGTGTCTGCCCTGTCCACGGGGCTGGTGAGAGTGTAGACCTCCATCGGGTTCTGTGTCTGCCCTGTCCACGGGGCTGGTGAGAGTGTAGACCTCCATCGGGTTCTGTGTCTGCCCTGTCCATGGCTTAGTGAGTGTGTAGACCTCCATGAGGTTCTTTTGTAGCTGCCTGTTTTAGGGCAAATGTTAGAGCACCGAGGGGGAATTGTGGAACGTGTTCCTGGAAATAAGAGCCGTGCCAGTTAGCTGCCTCTTCACCTTCTCCATGCAGAGAGATGTTCTTTACCACCATGGAGAGCCACCTTCTGCGCTGCAAAGTGTTGGAGATCATATTCCTGCACAGCTGCGAGACGCCCACCCGCCTGCCCCTGTCTCTGGCCCAGGCCCTCTACTTCCTGAACCATTCCACGTCGCTGCTCAAGTGTCAGGTACCTGCCTCCCTGCTTCAGTTCAGGCCAGGACACCTTCCCCAACCTTTGAGCATCATGTCCAAGTGACTAGGAAACTGCACGAAACCTTTAACTGAGGGAGGCGGTTATTAGCAAGTGCTCTTACTGTCTCCACAGTCGGACAAAACCCAGTGGCAGACGTGGGATGAGCTGGTCGAGCACCTGCAGTTTCTGTTATCCAGCTATCAACATGTTCTCAGAGGTAAGGAGCATTTGCGCACAAGATGGTGTGGGAGTCTCATGGGGGACAGTGTTATGCATTAAAGTTACGTGGGGATTCCAGTCAGTTAGCATTGTTCCTTGGTTGTACCTGTAAGGAACAAGGAATGACATAGCTGGAATCACTGCTCTGAAACAGAGGAGCTCACCTGTTCATGACAGTATGTAACACATTGGTCCTCACCAGTATGAGGAGTGAGCAAGAGTCACCAAAACATGGGAGGTGCTCAGTCATTTCCTGACTAGCCCTGGCAACTGACCCAGCCCGTCACAGCCATGTCTTTGCTGGGTCGATTGCTCACTGACTATGGACATTATAAACATCGTCAGTATGATGCAAACACAGCGCGCATCAGTGGAAGGTGAAAGTGTACATCCTGCAAAAGATAGAAGACATCCCAACGTCTGTCAGAGCGGCTCTGCTCAAATCCCAGGGGAAGCTGAGAAAGAGCTGCTTCAAATGAGAATGATTGGTTAGCCAAGGATTAATGGGGCCCTTGGGAAAGTGATGTAATTAATTACAAAAGGAAAGATAGCAACTTCAGAAGAAAACTGGCATTCCTCTTGAGGTGATGCCCCGAGGACACCTCAGCCTTATATATGTAATATTCTTGCCCAAAGTCCATGAGCTCATCACAAGGAGGATCAGACAAACCCATTTTGAGGGATTTCACAGAACTGGCCTGTACCCCTCAAAAGTGTCACTTTCTTCAAAACAACGGAGGAACGGGAAACTGCTCCATTTTAAAAAGGAATTAAAGCATGTGAGTACTAAATGCAAAACATGGTCCTAGAGGGGGTCCTGAACCAGGAAATAAGAACCTAGAAAGTACATTGTTGGGACAATTGATGATATTTAAACAGACTATAAAACTGCATTAATATTAAATTTCCTATTTTTGATAATTATCCTGGCCTATGGAAGTAAATGTCCTTGATCTTAGGAGATCTATACTGAAGTATTGAGGGTAGAAGGGCAGTATCTTATTCTCAAATAGGAAAAGTGTGTATATAAAATTTATCTGCATGATCCTGTTGACGTTGATTTTAGCTCAGTAGAGGCACTTGGGAAGGTAAGGAAGTCTTAATACACTCCCGGGCCTAGAACTGAGGCTGATGTTGTAGAGACAGAAAAAAAAAAAAGCTCTGTATTTAAGACAGAAGAGCAGGGTTTAAGTCCAACCCCAGCACTTACTCTGCGTTGTGCAGCTAACTTGGTCTCTAGACCCGTTTCTCCTCTACAGAATGGGGTTGGTAATATTTAACCTGCCAATGCCGCTTGCAAGTGGGTGTGAGGAAAGAGTAGGCATGGCCCAGGCATTGTGAGTGGACCCTGGTCTGCCTGTTTGCCCGAACAGGGGTACGCTCCAAGGGTCTCCTCTGTTTCAAGTTCTTGTAACTAAACAGAGTGCATTGTCAAGGCCACAGCACATGCTTGCGTAGCGGGGCATTTTTAGCACTCTCAAAGCACAGTACATAGCCTTCCCAGAACAAAGCCCCAAAGGCAAATTCCATGGGTGCCGAGCCTCACTGAGCTTTATGTAACTATTTCTTTTGGAGATCTAGCAGAAAGTTTAATATTAAAGCAACTTGTTTTTGTTTAAAGTTCACCTTTAAAACGTCTTGTTCATTTCTGTTTTGCTTCCCAGGAAATACACCTGTGTCATGAGCAATAGTGACTTAACATAGACATGGATTAAAAAAACAAAACATAGACATGGATTCTGTTTTAATTACAGAATATTCTTATGCTTCAAATAAGGGAAAGGGCCCTAACCGGTTTGGCTCAGTGGATAGAGCGTCGGCCTACGGACTCAAGGGTCCCAGGTTGGATTCCAGTCAAGGGCATGTACCTTGGTTGTGGGCACATCCCCAGTATGGAGTGTGCAGGAGGCAGCTGATCGATGTTTCTCTCTCATTGATGTTTGTAACTCTCTATCCTTCTCCCTTCCTCTCTGTAAAAAATCAATAAAATATACTAAAATTAAAAAAACAAAAGGGAAAGGCAGGCCTCAGATCAGCATACAGGGGCAGCAAAAGTAAGCTTACAGTTGTAATACAAATAAAGAATACAATAATTAGTAAATAATACAAATATAAACTTTCAAGTACTTGCAAATGTAAGCCTCTCTGTATTGAATAAATGGGCTGTGATGCAATGCTATTTTATCCTTGACATCCTCTCCAGCTTCAGTAGTTTGAAAGTGTCCTACCCTCAGTGGCACCCTGAAATGGTCAGTGTCCTGGTCAGAGAGGGCTCCCTAGTCATCTCTGCCTCTTCACACGGTCTGAGGACGTTTGGAGCTCAGCCTAAATTGTCAAAGGTGGGGGAGAAAAGGGAGAGGTTGAAAAGCCTCTTAACATGGAGAGAGGAAGGAAGATAAGCAAATTCACATATACTAGCTTATGTCATCCAATGACCTTGAAAAAGTCATTGACCTTTTACAGATGGGGACACAAAGACTGAGAAGAAAGGAAAGGCAGAGCCAGGACTCAAACTCAGGGCTGTAGCCAAAGTCTGTGCAGTGAAAACACTGGCAGGAATTACTTTCCTATGAAATCGCTAAGTGAAATTAGAAAGTGAGAGTCTAAGGAATTTCCAACCCCCTTTTCTAAACTCTTTACCCATGATTAAATTACTTTCCTATAGACCCTTGACCTTGGAGAAAAGTATAACCTGAACTTTCATATTTTATAAACATTTCCAGAGGCAGAGCAGCCCCACAAGACATGGGTGCTGGGTTGTCCGTTGAACGCATTCTCCGGCTAAAAGAAACAACGCCCCCAACCCCCGTTTCTGAGCACAAATGTATTTACTCATTTGGCCTACCCTACAGTGCAGACGACATGGTTTCACTTAAACAGTTACTGTAATAAACCAACACCACAATAAACCTACTAAATATACGTTCAGTATTTCTTTGCAATTCTTCCATACTTAGGAAAAATCTACCTGAAGATACTCAAAATTCACTTGACTCTTTTTCAAGTGGTTATGTTAAATCTTAAATATAGTTTCATTGTTTAAACCAAGGGAAAATTAAAATGGAATAGAAATTTTTTTTAATATGAAAAACTTGAGTACCAGAGAGAACAAGAACAATGGACCTTTTGGAAATAGTTACCACAGGTACCCACTTGGCTGTTGACTTGTGTCCCAGTAACTAGGTGACAAGTCTTTGCCCAGACCCTGCTACTAAAATTGGACTTCAGTGTCTTCCATCAGGAAGGGATAAAAAGCAGTTCTTTTCAACTGACTTGTTCCCTCTTGCAGAGCATTTACGGAGTTCGGTGATCGATCGAAAAGACTTAATAATCAAAAGGATTAAGCCCAAGCCCCAGCAAGGCGATGACATCACAGTGGTGGACGTGGAGAAGCAGATCGAGGCCTTCCGCAGCCGCCTGGTCCGGATGCTGGGAGAGCCCCTGGTCCCCCAGCTCCGAGACAAAGTGCACTTGTTGAAGCTCCTGCTCTTCTACGCTGCGGACCTGAACCCCGACGCAGAGCCCTCCCCCAAGCCCTGGAGCAGCCCCTGAGGTCCGGCTATGCACTGAGCACCAAGAATACCTCTTGAACTGTATCGCCAACTACTTGCAAGTTCTGAAAGTATGGAAAGTAGTTCAAAGTCTTACAGGACCAAACCTATCTTATTTATCTGTAGGCTATAATAACTTTCTCTTTAGTAATACCTTTTTAAAATAATCCTATCATAGCCTATTCTCAAATATGGCTTAAATATACAAGGTGTATATATTTTTTGATAAATTATTTATCTATACTTTTTGAAACAGGTAATACTATATGCACTTACATGTTTAACATTTCCATTCAGGATGTGAAAAAAATCCCTCTGAACAAATCCTAGACATCAAATGTTACTCAAGGTACTGATGATCCGTTTTGAAAGAGAGAGACACATTCATTTCTCCCCAATGGAACACAAACATCAATATTAGACCTGTTATATTGCCTATGAATTTGATTTTGTGGCAAGTCTATTAAGATCTAATGTAACGGGGGAAGGAGGAAGGTTAGAAATAAGAGGATGAGTGTTATAAAAAATGTTAAAAGGATACAATAAAAAGGCAATGGTTTTTCAAAATACCAAGTTTACCTGCTTATCATGGCTATGAATAAGCAGAATGCAATAACGACTCTTAACAGGACAAAAACAACAGCTATGCACATTTGAGAAAGTAGTAAGGAATTTTATTGTCAAAACAAGTAAGAGATACGAGCTTAACAGAAGACACAAATAAATTAATTGTTCTCATCCTTTGAGATGCAGGCCTCTCTGGGGAAGGCTCAGCCCAGCTCCCTACGTAGACACGACCCCCCCAAAGCAAGAACAGCAGAGTCTGAGACAGTTCAGGACAAGGACCGCCCACGGCCGCGGTGGAGGATGAGCAGGTGCTTCCCTGGCTCCTGTCCCCAGCACGCTCTGTGCTCACACAGGTCTGAGGCTCGTTTGGGGGCAACGGTTGCATGTAGAACCTTTTTCCATCCTTCCATGTGGCTCTTAGAAAAAGTTTCAGGTCCTGGTGACACTTGTTTCACATGAATGTCTGGACTAGAATCTACGTATAGTTACCACCATCTTTATTTTAAAAACCTTAACATCCATTAATCGACACCAAAGCAGTAGGCTGCATTTTCTCCCTTAGAAACTTTCCTACCAAATTGGAGTTAACTTAATCTCACTTTAAAGTGCAGCAGAGGATATGCAAGACTTGTGTTTGCTGACAGGTGAAGAGAAGCGCTGCCCACACAGTAGGAACCGGCTCTGCCCGAAAGCTACAGCGAGGGCTCCGGTCTCCACGCAGGAGAAGGGTCCCTGCCAAGCCTGGCTTTTCTTCGTGCCCAGATCTCAAACGGATCATAGGTTCCCGCAGCCACAACGATGGAGCACACAGCACCAGCCGCCAAGAGGGCCAGAGACTAGACAGTGAGCACCTCTACTCCCTGACTTACCCATGCCCTCGCTGACCCTGGTCTTGAAAGGAATCAAGAAGTCTTGGTTTGGGAACAACATAAGCAGTACCTGCCGCGTAAGCAATGATCAGGTTCTTGTGTAGGCTAAATAATGCAACAGGTGATCAGCCTCCATACGTCACTGCTGAGAGTATTCAGTCTAACTTCAAGTTAAAGCAATGCACAATGGCTTCTTCCACACAGGACAGCTTTGCACTAATGTTTCTCAAAACCAATAATGTCTCCAGTTCTAGCCCCAGGTTAAGGTTTAAAAAAACAAAAACCAAACCATTCCTATGTCAGAACCAGGGTAATAAGGAAGTGGGTGCAAGACACCTCGATTCAGTCAATGGAAGAGAAAGCTCTAGAAGCCGGTGGGTGTGAGCACATTCAAGTCCCGGGGTTTGAGATTATGGGTCCGAGGCGGTTGTTTCTTCCCTTCCATCACTGGGAGGTCCATCTTGGGCGGCTTGAAGGTGGCTGGATCGTCGGCCATCCGCGTGGCCTGCATGCGCATCAGTTCCATTGGAGAAGGCTTCTGGGCGCCTCTGTAGGGCTGGGTGGCAAAGCCTCCTGCAGAAGGAACCAGAGCAAACGATTTCAAAAGCAGCAAGCAGCTCCTGCCGCACACGGTAAATGCCGTACACGCTTTCTCTCTTGAGGGAGCTGGCTTACCCGAATCAGACTTCTGGAGGGATCTTGGTCCAAAGAGGCTCCATTTATCTGCCGAGTTTCTGTCTTTATCCCCAGAATCCATGGTGCTAAAATGTGGGCCAGGTAGGGCTGTGGAAGAGCCCGAAGAGAACCAGCCTCTGGCAGGGAAAGAACACAACAGCCCATAGACCTCTTCCCAGCCCCCGAGAAGTGCCTCGCGCGAGAGCCTGGGAACGGTCAGCTCCCCCTTCTCACTCAGAAACCAGGCTTCAGCCCCGCGTCCGCACATGCACGCTCACCTCGGCTTCTGCCTGGGGGAAGAGTGGGGGGTGCTGCTGGGGGTGGACTGGGCGGAGGCCGGCTGCTTCTCTTCCCTCGCTACCTCTCCGCTCTGTAGCTTTAGTGTCTGTTCAGATGGGTAAGGAGAGACGTGAGCCAAGTTTGGGTATAAACATCCTGGTCCGCACCAACGTTAGGCAGAAGGAAGACATTAATAGGCAGAATAATTTTGGATTATCGAACAGATATTCCTTTGATTCTGTCATACTAGACAGACATCCATCTTTTAAAAAAATGATTAATTCTACAACACAGCTTCAACATTTCTGCACTAAATACATTAGAGCTTTTAGTTTTCCCACCTCATCCAGCCAGTAAGTGCAAGAGCCAGAACTCAAGCTGCAGGCCTTCTGTGCCTTCTCAGTATGGCCTTGAACTCTTCCCTTATTGTCTCCTGCCACGGGCAATCCGTCACACCAGGCTCTCTAAGCCATGACGCGGGCATGCTACTCCTCCAGCTGCCTGCTTCCTCTGTGGCGCCTGCCCATCTGAACCTTTTCCTCCCGTAACCAGCCACCCTGGTTCCTTCCGCACTGTAAACATACCGCTGACATACAGGCAAGCGGCTTCCGGGGGGGAGAGTCTACTTCCCAGTTCTTCCGGGTCGGGGCTCCCTGACTGCCACTGTGCTCCATGTCCGGAGTGCCAATGCCGAGCCCCAACCACATCCAAACCAATGCCCCTGCCTGAACACTCAAACACTCCCCCTAACACTCTCCCTCAAACACTCCACGGCCGCTTACGCAAGCGGCACCTCAGCTGGCTTCGTGTTCTAGTGCTGTGGCCAAGATGCAGAAAATGGCCCAAAGTCAACTCTGCCATTATGCAGGGCGAATTGCTCAACTGGAACTCAGGCACAGATCCTGGGAAGTTCTCCGAATCAGAGACCCACGTGCCCCTCTCCGGAAGCACCTGTCTTGTCTGACAGCTCACACTGGCCGGCCCAACTCTGATCCCCCACAGCAGTGGTTTTTATACCAGCGTGCAAACATCATCTGGGATGCTCATTAGGAAATGCGAGTCCACAGGTCCTACATCCCTCCCACAGGCCGCTCGCTGCACCCCACTCTCCCGTCTACATACTGCGGGCATGATCCTCCTCTGAGGCCTTCAAGAGCCAGGGTCTCTGACAACTTTGGAATATGGGGGAAACACCAAGAAAGAGGGCATCAGGAGACTTGAGCTCAGGTGTTGTGAGAGGTTAAGTACATGAACTTGGACGCCAGTCTCTGTATTGATAGGACATGAAGAACAGTTTCTACCTCAAAGGATTAACAAACACAAAACTAAGTGGATGCGAGTGCCTCAGAAATCACTAAGCACTGTTAAGTACAGAGGGGTGTTCCTTGAGCTAAAGTCATTTGAAATTATTTCATTCACACAATTATTTGGTCATCATTAACCTTACCAAAAATTAGTCTTCATTCCAATTTTAGAATAAAGAGCAAAACTTCCCAATTCTGCATTTGCTTTTAATTTTTTAAACACAAAGCATGCCATTCTTTCCAGCGAGTGTCGTGCCTCTGACATTGCCAATGTTCCTCTCCCCTCAGCGCCCATCACTCTGGTACAAGAAGCGACCCACACTGGCTTTACTGTTCCTGACGTGCTCATGCTCATACACACTCTCTTTCTCACACACACACACCGCACATGCATGAGCACAGAGGCTCCTCTCCTCCTCCTGACCAGACACCCCCACTTCATAGACAGATAAGCAGAACCTTCCGGGTAAGAGCCCTGGAGCTTAGGGCCCCTGTGCCACCACAGGTGGGCTCACACAGCTCTACATTCCTCACCTCTTCTCTTGGCATCATTCCCCGCAACCCCCACCTCGCTGAGCTGGTAACTTCTAAACCACAGCCACATCGCAGAGTGATGACGGTGTCGTTTTTGTCAAACGAGCTTACGTGGAGTGCTTCTGCCACTCGAAGGTACTTGGTCTCCTCGGTGGTCAGGCCCTTGTGAGGTGTGTAGCCAGCATCTCTCAGCCCTGCCTGTTGCTCAAAACGCTGAATGCTCTCCTGGGTCTGTTCTGGGAACAGAGGAGATGACAGTCATGCCCACCCGCTCTCCCATCACAGATGGGGAGCAGAGAGCAGATATCCGCTCTCCTCCCCAGAAGCAAGGGCCACACGGGCCGCCCGAGGAGGTTTCCCCAGACCAGCAGTAGTTCCAAAGCTCACACGAAGCTTCGAGAACCAGAGGGAGCCTTCCCTCACACCAAGAACAGAAACCTCCAGGGAAACTCCTTACCTTCCTGCGGTTCGTACACTGTGACATTCCCTTTGTGTTTAGAGAGGCCACATGGAGGAGCCAGCTGGCGTTCTCCAAATACAATTTCCTAAGAGGCTCACCACCCTCATGACCCACACAAGGACCTTCACCAAAGAGAAACGGGCCACATTTTGCCTAGATGGCACCAAGGTATCGATTCAATTCATACCAGAGAACGTGCCTTGAACTAGTCCAGGTCTACCAAGCCAACGCTTCTTGTGTGTCAAAGTGCCCCTCACGGCGCCTGGCACAGCAGACAGACAGATGTGATCGACTTATATTGTAAACAATAAGTCAGTTATGGGAGCATTTGAGACCCTGCTTCCTGGCATATGTTGGCAGTTTGGCTCAAAGAAAGTCATAACATTTCTCTAAAAGAATATGTAAATAAGTCATTTATCCCGTGGAATGAATGACAGCTGAGTTTTTTGCTTACTCTGGATACGACCTAATTCAGCCCACGCACAGGAATGTGGCAGCTGTGGACCAAAAGTCCTTTATGACTCAGTCATTCCCCTTCGCAGGAACTATTTTATTTCTATCAGAAATAAAAGCTCAGGAAAAAACCTAAATGTATGAAGATGTTTTACTGTCTTACCAGGTAGTTACCTGAAAATTTAAAAGGTGGGAAAGGATTTAATGCATCACAGCACACCAACACCAGTACTTTGAATGTAGCTATTTTTTAACAATGTAAGACTAGAGCAACATCCAAAGTTCATGGCAGTATTAACTGAAGGAAAGGTATGACTACATCTGCAATCACGTAAAAATATGCACACAGCGGACGTGAATCAGCCGAGCATCTGCGTGACAGCGGCACCCTGGGGAGCCGGGACGCTCTGCGCCGGGGAAGCCACTGCCGGGAGGAGGGGACCGAGCCTTCCTTCTAGCACCGCCAGAACATTCTCCAGCTTGCACAGTACCAGCAGTGGTTGCTGATGCAAATGGCGCGTTTCCATGTGAATGAGAG